GGTAAGACCTTTACAACAGTCTGATAATGTACCAGGAAATTCAATAGGTAAGACCTTTACAACAGTCTGATAATGTACCAGGTGATTCAATAGGTAAGACCTTTACAACAGTCTGATAATGTACCAGGAAATTCAATAGGTAAGACCTTTACTATAGTCTGATAATGTACTAGGTGATTCAATAGGTAAGACCTTTACAACAGTCTGATAATGTACTAGGTAATTCATTAGGTAAGATCTTTACAACAGTCTGATAATGTATCAGGTGATTCAATAGGTAAGACCTTTACAACAGTTATAGATTAAGAAATGACTACTAAAATTAATTATGAAATTCTAAACTTTCAATTAAAAACCTACCTTAGCAATAAACACTGCAGTTTCTATGATACTTCGAACATGCTTGAGCCAGCCACTAGATTCTAAGCCAGTCAAAAACGCATTCATTGAGGGGATCTTCAACTCAGATACTGTTAAAAATAAAGTACATTTAAATGGTATAAATAAGTAAATAAAAATGTGGAAATTGCTTTGACGTTCAGACAAATCTAGAAGTTTATGATAAACATTCAAACTAACAAATCAAAACGTTTGGTTTTGTGTATGGTGCCTTACCACTAATAACCTGAATTATTTTTAATTTTTGATAACATGTAACATTCTAATGAGCTGTGAATTCAGAGAAACCTGTTTGCTGAAGCAGAACTAACAAATGAAAGAACATATCTGCCCTCTACATTATCTTTTCTTAAATGAAATTCATGTTTTGATGAAGAAAAGAAGTTATCATCTAAATCAAAAGATTGTTTATTTCAAACTAAAGAGAGAGAGAAAAAGTATACTTGCTCCATGTGTGTTGAAACTTGTAAGACTACATCTATTATGAATGGTGACAAGGTATTATCACAGACTTCGACAGACAGATACGTACTTGTTTTCACTACAATTGTCACTGTTTAGAAGCCAGAGTGTAACTTGTGTGGTGAGAATAAGATGGTGAAACCAGACTAATACAGTAAGAAAGTCCCTACCTGGTGCAGGTCATACCAACTTATGGAGTTTCATAGGACTGGATGACAACACCTAACATTTTCAGCTTCCATGAAGTTAAAATAGTTAATGATCGTGTTACCTTAGTCAAGATTTGTCTGATTATGTACACGACTGTCATAATTTCCAGGAATAATACTAACTCATAATCAAATGTTATTTTCACTTCAAAGGAGTATTACACCTTGAATTATGATGAGTTTTGTAAGGTTATGGCTTTGAGAATATAATTTTCAATTACATCTTTCATTAAATAATAGGTGACTTGAAGTAACATGAATTAAAATTATAACAGAACCTCAAAACAATTGGCCATTTTCTTCCATCAAATTTAATCCTCTCAGACAGAAAATTACTTTATCATATCTGTATTGAATTTCATGCTTATAAGATGCAAATAAATGGCAGGAAATGTTTAAAAAGCTTTAAAAAAAACTTTGGATATTTTGCTTTTACAACTTTTCAAACTATGTTTGACATAATAGAACATTATCATATTTTTAGAGGACATTTCATACTTCTTCTTTTAGTTATGGAAATCTTTTGAAATTATTAAGAAACTTTAAACAAACACCAATTACAGATTAAGTGCTATTTAGTGATTTCTGGATATAAAAAAAAAATTCAGTGTTAAAAACAATATATTTAACCTTCTACAATCTTATAAAGAAAAGTTTCAGCATTAAAAACATCACAGCTTATCTTCTACAAGTTTATAAATAAAATGTTGGCATTGAAAACATTACAGCTTATGTTCTACAAGTTTATCAATACAATTCTGCCAGTGCAAGCACTACAGCTAACCTTCTACAAGTTTATAAATAAAACGTCAGCATTAAAAACACTACATCTAACCTTCTAAAAGTTAATAAATAAAATGTCAGCATTAAAAACACTACATCTAACCTTCTAAAAGTTAATAAATAAAATGTCAGCATTAAAAACACTACATCTAACCTTCTAAAAGTTAATAAATAAAACGTCAGCAGTAAAAATACCTTACCTTCTATTAGTTTATTTAGACTACTTCTCATAACATGGATATTTTCTATCCCAAAAAACTGGAATTTGATGTTTTCATAGAAACTCTCATTTTCATAACCTTTTCCTGCTGCTTTATTGGCCATTGCATTAATCTGTCAAATAAATAATTATTTCAAATACCTCATAGCAGTTAAAGACTGTAATAAAGTATGAACAAGATTCATCTAAACTTGAATATAAACTTTTATGTTTTGTTGTGATATTAGAAATTGTCAAAAATCACTTGAAAATACTGTCTATGTGACAGTACAACTCACACTGTAAACTGCTGAATACAGTAACTAATATCTGACAAGTGGCAAAAAACAACTCAACTCGGTGAAACCTGGTATATATATATATATATATATATATGGTGTGGTTTATGTGACAGTACAACTCACACTGTAAACTGCTGAATACAGTAACTCACATCCGACAAGTGG